AGACAAGCGAAAACAAGTTGGATGTCAAGTCTGACAAGACAATGACAAGAGACAGGCTGCCGAGGCCCTATATAGAGTAGACAGAACGGTGGCTAACATGATGACGGGCGCAGGAAATTGATAGCGCCCAGACAGCAACGAACGTGCTCTGGGCCGAGATAACAAAGCCAGGATAGAATTGCGAGGCAGCAGAGACGAGGCGGCGCGGATACGACGCAGAGGTTCACCGCTTCAGTAGCCGTGTACGGGGCGTTTGATAAGGGAGATGCAGGGTCCAGAACCGCCAGCCAGGCACGAAGAGGTCCAGGCAGTTGTGGCGGTGGATGCACGTACCTAGAGGCCTGATCTGTAGGCTGTACACGAGATCAGGGGGGGGGGGGTTGAAGAGAGAGAAGCAGCAGCTGAAACTCGAGTTCGGCTGGCTGCTTGAATTGTGTGCGTATTCTGACGTCGTCGAGGGACGGCAGGCGGAGGATTTGAGACGATCAGATCCGATCTACCGTGGCGGGGCAGATAAGAGGCGGGCGCTGATAAGAGGGAGAACAAGCAAGTGGGATTGACGCGTTGGGGCGGTCAACAAAGAATGTCGGTCGACTGTGAAACAAGTCGAGCAGACGGTCGCGAGCTTTATGTAGCAAAGGCTGAGCGCGAAGAAGCAGAGCTGGATCTGGAGCTGCTGGTGCTGGCGCGCGTTGTTGGGTAGTCCGGAATGCCCCTCGTTGCTTTGGAGAGCCGTGTGAGGCGGGTTGCAGGGATGTTCGGCTGACGAAGGCCTAGAGCTGTAGGGGGGTAGTTGGGAGGCCTTTGAGCACAGCCATCCGGCCAGAGCTGGGTAGCTCGGAAGACGGAGCGTTTCTTGTCTGGTGCGACGTTGTCTCGTTGCCGGTTCCGGAAACGAGCAGAGCAGGCTTGTTATTGATAAGAAGCAAGGCTCGTGGTCTCGGGTTCTTATCTGGGCTTGTGCCGAAAATAGGTAGGTAGTAGCAGGCAGGTAGGTAGGTAGACAGGACAGGACACGAGGTCGGCGGTGCAATGCAGCAACAAGATGACGACAACGAGGGAGTAGGGGAAGTGGAGGAAGAGGAGGAATGATCAATCGAGGTTGATCTAGGGAGGACGATGCTCAGGCAAGGAAGAGTCTGACGATCACCGAGGGCTTGAGACCAGTGACAGGCGGGAACATGCACACCCTTTATATACTTGCCCCTCGACGACGCCCATGGTTCTTCTCGTGCGTCGTCGTGGGCATTGCGCAACCTCTGTCGAAACGGAGCCCGCCAGTTTGATCGTGGAGCTTGGGCTAACTCTTGGACCGGGGAAACGGTGCTTCCAAGGGGCGGCCTGACGTTGGCATGGGCGCGGGCCCGGGCTTGGACCGTGTGAGAAAGGCAGGAGCGAGAGTCAAAGGAAGCTCGAAAAAACCAGCCTGATCACGATGATGTCTTCGCCTGCATCACGCTGGGCGACTTATTACCAAATAGCAACCGCTTAAGCCTCTTTGGGCAGCACCAGCCAGCAGGGAGGCGCCTCCATTGGACAGAGGCATTCGTACCTGTCGCTCGTGCCAGGGGTCTCGCAGGACCAGACACTCCACTGGGGAGCCCAGCCCACAGGGCCGCAGGAGGCGGGGGGCGGCGGCGGCGACCACCTGGAACGTCAGCTGGACCTGCGGCAGCGGTCCCCTACGGGTTTCTAGAAGGTATCTCGCCCTGTTTCCACCCCGCATGCCGGCCGACGACTCTACCTCGCCGGGACCTGACAGGCACCTATCGAGCTTGGGACGGCTATCCAAGGCAAGTTTTTCAATGGAGTTTTTCTGGAGATTTTTCTCACCAGCCTGTGCCATCGTCTCGAGATTCCCTTGATTGCCATTACCCCTTCAAAATCCCCAGACTCTAAGCATCGTTGCATGCTACTTGGCGCTAATGACTACACGCCTGGAGCAAGCGCTGAACCCCGCCATCTGCTGTCCATTGTACAGGGGCTGAGTACCTTGATGATGTTCGAAGATGCAGATGACAACACACACACACACACACATACAGAAAACTTGGATCAGAAAGAGAGAAAGCGAGAGACGTAGAGAGGGAGAAAGGGACAAAAAGCATCCGGGCGTAAACTAAAAAGAGTCTGTGTACCTATAGGTGGCCGTGGCAAAGACGTGCAAAACGCCAGCTGTGATGAGAAGACGCCCGTTTGGCGCAACCGCGCCCCGCTACTCCATCCGTTTCCTGTTCCACACCCACAACCCACACACCTACATGTACCGTACGCAAAGCGCAAGAGGGGTTGCCGAAGGTGAGTTCGGTGAGGGGCAGGTGCCTACGTCTACCTGCCTTTTGCGCCATGCCTCCATTTACTCCAATCACCCCACAATGGGCAATACATGTGCAGTATCATCTCATCGCAGTTTTTAGCAACACCAGGGCAACCGAAACCCAACATTGACCCCGTCCGACCCGGCCTGTCAAACTGGCTGCGGTCACCGGGTCCCAAATCTCGTTTCAATGATCAATGCCTGCTGATCCGAGCACCAACGCAAACGGAAGGATAGAGCAACAGCAATCCATCCTAGAGCTCCAGGTCAGGCGCACACGCTGACTGCCCCTGCCACGGCCGGGGTAATGAGTCGCACGCGCCGTTCCAAGTTACAATCCACCTGCCTCGCATCGTTATTACATTCCATCCCCATCCATCTCCAATCCTGGATCAATACTCCGATCGATCCCCAACAAAGTAACACAATACTTGGCCTCTCGTGGCCCCTCGTGACGAAAGCAATGCGAACTCGCCTCTCCGAATGGCCCGGCGTCTCCTCCTCAGGGCCCACTCACGAAGCCCGCTTGCCCCGCGTCTAGGCGCGCCCAAGACGCCGTCTCCGATGGAGGGGCCACCTGGAGGCAAGGACCAAAACCCAGAACCAGGGAGAGAAACGGTAGGGTCACACACATCAACAAGACGGTGGCCAGAGTGGCTGGATTGGAGCCTCTAGAGGCTCTGCCAGCGTTTCCATTACCCCCCCATTACCCCCAGGTTTTCCTCTCCTAGACGGGGCTGCGTTCCATTACCCCCAGATACTTGATGTGCAGCATCGCAAGAGCACGCCTTTGCCCACGGGACAGACCGACTTGGCTCAATTGGAAGGATTGGGGGCCGCCTGGGGAAATACTCTGATGCACCATGTCCCTTCTGAAAAACCTTGCAAGACACAGGATCAATTGACTGGCAGGCGGGCTCCATCCTGAGTCGTCACGGCCAATGCAAAATCTGTCCAACCCAGAGCCCCCGATCTGTTGGTGGTCTCATTACCCCATCGACTGCCCCTCGTCAGACCCAATTCCGTCGCGAGCATCCAACGAAACTGAAGCAGCCTGCTGCAGTCCTGCAACAAGACAGGCTGTCCCTCACATCGTCAACTTCGCTGTCGCTGGTGCCATTTTTGAACATGGCCCTCCACACCCCGGGCCGGGATATGTAGCGGGTCGCGTCGCTTCGAGCTCGATGGATCCGTCTGATCGACAGATTTTGCTTCTTCGCTGCCTGCCGTTATCAACGAGCCAAATTAACATTTCCGTTTTTATCCTGGGCGCGGTCGCCCGTAACGTTAACTGCACCATCACCGCTTCAGACGACTTCGTTCGTGGCCTTGAACCCGGTCCGGCGCCGCCTGGGGACAGCTACCGGCTCGCACACGTAGCGCTTGATACGTGCCCAGAGGGGTTGAGGACCTGACTGACGCCGAAGCGACCTGTTCAGCTCCACCCCTGTTTCCGTTTACTGGGACAAGTCTAGAACTCGAAGTCCCAATTTTACTCCAATTCTGGGCCCCTTGTTCCGTTCTTCTGATAGTTGTCGAGCGGTGGAACAGCTGGATGCACAGCCACGGAAAACTCGGTGCACCAACTGCGTTCGTTGTCTGGGGGTGCGAGCAAGGTCACGATGGCCTGAAGCACAATCTCCCAGCATGTCCCGGCACTTGGGTTGCTTCTGCTCCTCCCGTGGTGACTCCTCGCGCCCAACCACCCCTGGGATTACGAGTTCACGATGGTATCACTTTTAGCTGCACCGGAAGTCCTCGAAGGGGCCGCGGCTCACCGCGGCACTCACCGCCCCCCGTGGCGCCGCTGGATCCCTGGGGGGAATCTCTGGGATAGGGGCGCCAGATGATCAGCTGGACACTGACTGGAGCCAGCTTCGGCCACCGCTGGTGCCGTGCACGTCCACGTGCTTGGCCAGTCTCGTGAGGTGTCAGCAGGAAGGAAAGGGGCAAATACTGTCATTCAGAATTAGTGATGGGCAGTACGGAGGAGTCATTGTGTCCACATCGATTGGCACCGAACACATGAGTTGAAGCATCGTGAAATTTGTTGAAGGGATGAATCGCCCGGAAGTGCATGGCCGACAAACTGGTGGGTGAGACACGTCGCTCACTGGTTGAGAGTTTGACTAACTCGAACGTCACATTTAACCCTGTTTCTTGGGAGTGTCAGGCCATCCTCATCCTGCTCGCCCACATCTGTTCTCCAGGTGAGTGCCATGGTCCCAGACGTCTCGTCAAGCCAAATTCCTTCCAAGCAGCATCGGTTGTCAGTCTACCAGTCCATCGCTCAACTGCCGAAGCTGCGGCGCCGAGTCGCCTACCGAACGGCGCCGAAACGAGGAAGATATCGGAGGGCGTGCCCGATGTGGGGGCTGCGAATCGGAGGTTGGCTTGATGACATTCGCCCTCCATCTTCGCGCCTGCATGACGCCTCTCAGGCATGGAGGGACGGATCCTCGGCCGTTGTCCTCTGAGGCCCACCCAGAAATACCTTCATCCCAATCTGCCTATTCTAAGTACCTTCATCATTGCCGTCCGGTGTTTGCTGCCGCCAAGTGCAGTCCCCGACGCGCATCCGCTAGTAAAACGGACACGGATGTCCTTTGCTGTGTGGGTGGCTCGCAAAACCCAACTGTCGTCAGTGCAGAGTTTTCGACCAAAGCCTGGGCACCAGGGACGTCGCCCCGTCATTGAACAACTGTCCGCAGCAGCGCAGGTCCCACTACCCCAATTTCTTCGCACCTCCGTCCCCGCGCGAACCAACATTGCACTAGAATTCTTGGTCTGTCCGACATGACAGCTCAGATCTTCAGCGAGCCATGACTTTGATAAACATAATCACAACGAGCTTGCGGGCGCCATGCGCTGGTGGTGGTCCTTGTCCGTCAGCTCAGTATTATTCTTACCAAGCTTGGACGCTAGCTAGATGAGTGTTGACTCTTTACACCAAGAAGATGCCTTAATCACATGGAAAAAGGCTGAATCCGAGAACGGCGTATAAATTACTGACGCCGTCTGGACTTTTCAAGACAGAAATTTTCTTGAGGTAGCAAATTCTCGGCATGGCAATCATGCTGCTATACATGCATGTATGCGTAAGAGTCAAGCCAGAGATAGACTGGATAATCAGCATCTGTCTAGAGAGGGCAGAAAGTCTGTCTGAAGGGGAAAGAAAAGAGCTTCGTGAAACCCGCCAGCGGAAAAGTGCTCGTGCCCCAGACGTGCCTACTATTGAGCCACACTGCCATCTTCGAGAGCAGTCGCTGGCACGAGCTATGTGGCTCAGGACGTGGCACAGAGCACCACCATGTAATGTTTCGGTCGCTCATTTCATCAGCAAGCTATCTTGTGGTGATTAGTAACCTCGCTTCGACGGAACCAGTGCATAATCAGGTGATTCGATACGCCAGGAGTGCAAGCTTGGGACTAGGTGCATTGCTGACGCGCTGAAATGGGCCGCCAGAGAGCATATATGTCTCGCCGCACCTGCCACAGGGCGGCACCACTGCACCAGGTCGTCCGCCGATCGCGCCAGGCTAACCGACATGGGGCTTCGTATGTTTGCATGATGTGCGAAAGAAGAGCTTGCGCCAGCTGCCGGGACTGATTTGCATGCTTCGCATTTGACGCTTTTTCTAGAAGGCTGATCAGTCGGCTTCTTTTGAAGGCTGAGCAGTCGGCTTCTGCTGGAATACCTTATTCCCCCACCATACAATATCCCAGTACACCAGGTACTACGGTAGGCGAAACAGCCATGTCTGTCATCGGGGATGTGCCGACGACGAGCTGGGGCTGGGGGTAGGCGGTCCTATTATTAGGCCGGGCAGCGAAAGCGCTCACCCACCAACTTGTGCCTGGCGACACCTGACAAGCCCGACAGACCTGGCTGGTCCCGGTACGCTCCCAGGAACACGAAAGGCCCAGACGGTCTAGACCCTTCTGTCTTCCGCCCTTGATCCCAGGTCGGATCACTGCCTAACCTTTAGGCCCTGCCTAAGATTTCGGAGAGGAGGCACGACCCGACCGAACCCCCACGTCCCCCCTCCTAAGAGCCGGAGACGAGAAAGAAAGTCTGAACGGCTCGGGCGTGCGGCTGCTCGTCTGAACTTCTTCTCACTCCACCACTCTGTAACCTCACTTGCTGCTGCTGACGAGCCATCATCGCGACGAGCCGAGCCTCATCTTGCCTGTGCCTGCCGACCAGCGACGAACCAAGAAATCGAGCTTCTCACACACACGACCGTGGCCTGC